GCAACCACGTTCTGGTAGGCACACAACTAAAAATAGTCTTCTTTTAAAAAATCGAAACATACCGACCATATCGGTAAAACATTTAGACTTTAGGCTTCTAAAACAAATTGTATCAGTGCAAAAGTGAATAATAAGATAATATTATTCTGTTGTACAAATTTTAAAAGTCCTTTTGGGAATAGGGACAATATGGGAAATTGTGTCCTTTTCAGCACCATTTACTGAACTTGTAAGCCCTTTTATTCCAGTTTTAGTGTAGTTTCTTATAGAGTTTTAGTTTCTTTCACTTAATTATCCATGAACTGTTAAGCAATTATCTAATGTTACCTATAGGTGGATCCACTGAGATATATAAAGGTAAATAACTATATGATTTAACTATTTTAGTAAAGATCTTAAGTCTCCACTAATTTCATTCATTTTCAAAAGTAAATAATATTCCAAACCAGAACCTGTGGCAAAAAAAAAAGTTAAGTCATCAAAGAATGGAAAACCGACGAAAAGCCACCCATAGTTGTAGGTTTTTAAAATGCTTTAATTGCTAGCAATTCTATTATCAATAAACTTATACTTGAATAATTCTGTGCTAATATGTAGCCCAAACAAGTATGGACCATGCAGTTACTAAAAGTCAATGAATACAGTACCCTTAAAATAAACCTGCGTCTTACAAGACAAACAAAAATAAAAACACCCCAATAAATAGTACCTATTTAAAATTTTTAAATACTAAAATAATCATGACTCTCTATCGCGGGTTCAGCCTCCACGCAGGTCAAAAGCGCAGCTCTACAGAGACCGAGGAGAAACCGCCCGCCGGAGGGCCCTGGGTGCTCAGGACACCCGTGCGCCCGGTTCCTGAGACCCAAACTCGGGTGACAAGCGCGTGGCCTCGCGCTTCCCTGCCGGACCCTCTTTTGACAAACAGCAGCTCCTTGCTTACTAGCGATCATGGTACATGGTCTCCTAACGCTCTCCATCACGTCTCCGGGAACCGAAAGCCACCTAGCACTTCAGTGGCAAGTTTCCAGCAGAAAAGCGAAGACCCTGCCACACACAGGAGAGCCGCTCACAATGATGCAAACCGGGAGCAAACAGAGTGTCATTTCAACATTCCCCATTTTCGATCCTTGTAGGCCACGTCCTCCTTCCCCAGGGAGAAACCGGTGGTTCAACAAAAACTGTTACCGGTTTGATGGACTGAAATAAACTGTTAACTGTCACTCTGGTTGGCGTAGTTACCACCCTTTAAAAAGCTGGAAACGCCAGCTGGCCGGCGGCGGGAGTCACGGGAGCGGCCGAGCGCCCGGTGGGGCCCAGCGCCGGTCGCTCACCCTTCCCCGCGGAACGGCCGCACACGCACCGGTCGCCGGACTGGACCGGACGGAACTAAACTCGCCGTGAGCGCCCACTCGCCGACCGCTCAGACGCTGCCCGGGGGCCCGCCGGGCTCCCCGCTCCCACTGCCCGAGCCCCTCGAGTCGCGGTCCCGCGGGGCCCCCGCACGTGTCCTCAAGCCGCCCCCCCGCCCCAGACTCCGCTCCGGGCCGCTCTCACCCCGACCGAGGGCGGCCCCGCCGAGAGCGAGCCGGGAACTGACACCGCCCGGGCGCCCAGCGGAGCCGGGGCGGCCGAGCTGCCGGCTGACAGCCCGGAGGGCGCGGCCCCGCCCGGCTCCGCTCCCGGCCCGCCACCGCCTCCCCCGCGACGCCCCTCGCCGGCCCATTAGGGGCGAAACCCACTGGAGAGAAAACGCCTTCCCGCGGGTCCCCTCCCTGGACGACTCGCGCGGTCCCCGGGAACCATCTCCCTCCTTCGCAAGTTTTCTTCCCGCGGCCGCTCCTCCGAGGCCGCCGCCCGAGCCCGCCGGCCCCGCGTCCCCCGCCGGACCACGCGAGACTCTCCTCGGGACAGGGGCCCCCGGCCGGGTGGGGGGGGCGGCGGAGCCGAAATCGCGGGTGGGGCCCGCTGTGACGGACGCGAGAGGTCACGCGCCCGCCCGCCGCCGGCCTCACCGGCGCTCCCGGCGTTCGAGGGAGCGCCGGCCGCGGCGTCCGGCACGACCCCGCCTCCGGAGCCTCCCCGCCAGGGACCGGCGTCCCGAGTCCGGTCACCCTTTCCGCCTTCCTAGTCCCCTTGTCACTCGGGCGAGTAACCCGTGTCGCTCGTCCCCGGGGCCGAGCCGCTGTCCGCACCCCGCACGCGCCCCCGGCCCGCGCAGCCCGCCGCACCTGGTGGTGGTTGTAGGAGTTCCGCTGCTGCAGGAACGCGGCGGCCGCCTGGTGCTGCTGCTGGAGCTGCGGGCTGACGGGCGACCTCCGGCTGGGCGGCTGCGGCGGCGCCGCGGGCGGGGCGGGCTGCTGCTGAGGTAAACTCATGGCGGGCGGCGGCGGGGGCCCGGCGGGCGCCGAGAAGGGGCCGCCGAAGCCGCCGCCGCCGCCGCCGCCACCGGCCGGCACGCTGAGCCCCGCGCAGCCGTGCGGGGACACGGGCGAGAAGCTCGGGAAGAAGGCCGGGTTCATGGACGACGGCAGCCCGGGATAGAAGCCGTTCTCCGAGTCGGGGCTGGGCGGCGGCATGGCGCTGAGCGAGCCTCCGCCGCTGCCACCCGCGGTGGCGGCCGACGAGCCGGGCTGCGGCGGCTGCTGCTGCGGCGGCTGCTGGGGAGGCGGCGGCTGCTGCTGTTGGGGCGGCGGCGGCGGCGGGGGTTGGGGCTGGGGCGGCGGCGACGCGGTCTGCACGGACCAAGGGGTGCCGAAGCCGGGCAGCGGCGGCGGCGAGGCGGAGCCGCCTCCCCCGCCGCCTCCGGGGGGTCCCCCGCCCCCGCCGCCGCCGCCCGGGTGCGGCAGGTCCGGGCTCTGCAGGCTGCTGAAGGCGCCCGCGCCGAGCGCCCCGCCGGGCAGGAGGTTGCTGGGGCTGTTGAGCAGAGGGTGGTTGGGCGACTCCATGGAGTCCGGCGCGGGGTTCACCGGCGGCGTCGAGGGGGCCAAGCCCGCATCGGGGGACTCGGCTGCGCTGCCCTCGCCCGCGGCCGGGGTCTGGTGAGGGCTGCCCGCGCCTCCGTGGCGGCGCCGCGGGGCTGCGGGAGGCGAAGGCTGGAGCCGCGGGAGCGGGGGCAGGTCGGTCGGGCGCTGCCGCGGGGCGAGGTCCTGCGGCGGCGGGAGGCGCTTCGGGTGCGGGAGGCTGAACTGCTGCCGCTGCTGATGGCACGGGGCGAGCGGCGCCGGCTGGAGCGGCGGACCGGGCGGCGGCGTGCTGAACCGGCCCGGGCAGTGGAGCGGCGGCGACTGCGAGTCCGGAGGGTGGGGAAGGCGGGGAGGGCTGAACTCTTTCCTCTTCTGGCTGCTCAGCTGCTGCTGCTGCCGCTTACTGAAGTCCTGCGGGGAGGAGGTGCGGCAGCCACAGCAGGAGGAGGCGGAGGCGGAGGCGGGGTGGTGCAGACTCGGTTTGAAGTCCTGGGAGGGGAGGAGGTGGGTCACACCCGCGTTCGTGCCGCCGCCGGGGCGGTGGTTAGGGAGTTTCTCCGGGGCCACCGGCCGCAGTGTCAGCCCCAGCAGCAGCTCATCCTGCATGGTCTGCTGATGCGCCAGGAGCAGGGAGGAAGAGGAAGCGGCGGCGGCCCAGCGGCCCGCGCCGCCGCAGCCGAGGGGGACAGGGGAGGGGGAGGCGGCCTCCGAGAACCCGGTGACAGGCAACGGCGTTAGCGGGCCGAAGGGCGTGGCGGAGGGTAGCGGGGTGGTGGCCGCGGCGGAGGGGCGGTACGCCCCGCCGCCGAATAGGGACCCGGGACTGCTGTTTCGGAGCGGGGCTGTCTGCAGCACCCCAAACCCTAAGTCCTTCATTTATCAGGCCGGCGGCAACGGGAGAAGACGCGCCCCGTCCGCCGCCCCCCTAAAAAGCCTCCAGATCTTGGGCGGCGCGGGCCTGCTGGAAGGAGGGGAAGTCAGTGAGAAAGGGACACCGTGACTGAAATTGGGGCACCAACTTCAGCCCCGCCACCCCTCGAGGCGGCCACGGCCGCTCCCGAGACCGGCTCGGGCGCCGGCGCTACCGCCGCCCTCGCGGCTTAAGAATCCCGGAACGTGCGTCAGCGCCACCTCACAATCGCACCGCCCCCCGTGGTGCGTCCCGGCACGCGCTGGCGCGAGGCCGCCGCGCCCCCGCTGCCCCGCCCCCGCCCCGCCCCTCATTAATATGCAGGATTGGCCGGGGCGCGCTCCCGTTCGTGGGAGGGAGGGGAGCGCGGGAACGGGAGGCGTGTAGCTTTACGACCTTTCCGAACCCAGGGAAAAGAACGGCCGGTTGGGGCGGCGGGCGGCCGGCGGCCGAGGGGATTCTGAGGGCCGGACGTGCACGCGAAAGAGGATGAGCAGGCACCCGCGGCGCCGATGATTCCGGAGCAACGGCCCCTCCTGCTCCTCGTTGAACGCGCCCCCTGCCGCTCTTGCCTGGTTGCGCTCGCGGCCGCGCCTCCTTCATGTCACCTACTCCCCACCCTTGGTCATGTGAGGCCTGGCCACACGGACAGGGGCTTTCCAGGGACAGACTCTTCCCCGGATGGGGCTGGCCCACGGGGGAAACTGAGGCAGCGAGTGTGACCCGGAGCGGTTCCCAGTTCCGGTGGAGTCCTCTGGCCCCGCTGGCTCAGCACCGGGGTCCTGTGGCCGTCTCGCTAGTGCACGGACCCTGCCTGCCCAGCAGAATGCCGGGCAGTTCGCCTCCATCCCTGGCCCCATCGCGGCTCCAACTTGGAGCCCTGCTGGTTGCCCTAGAAAGCGCCTTCTGGGGCTCGTTTCCGTTTTTAGCCTCTCGCAGCGCGCTCGCGTGCGGTCACCGACCTTCCTGCAGTCGCGGGAAGGTGTTTTCTGTGAGTCAATGTGAAGCCTCCACTGCACAGCAAACATTTTCACTCCTGGACCCTAACACGGTTCCCTGTGGTTTTTTACACACGAATATACATATAATGAGCTCCCATGGCAACCCTGGGCCAGCTCCAAGTCTTCCTATTTCATAAAAGCGCTTAATGTGCTGTCATCAAGACTGCTGTGGGGGGGGACTCCTCCCCGCTGCGTTCAGGCGGCCACCCCCTCCCCTTACCCCTAGGGAGGCTGTAACATTTCTGAAGCTTTATGAATTCGAGGGAGAAAGATTTCGCACATCAGGGGGAAAAAGGAGGTTCTGACTCAGCAACAGACTTGTTGAGGCTTGCAAAATGGAAGGGGGCAGCGAGCTTTCCATGGCAGCGCTCTTGTTGCAAGCAATAGAACTGATTTTGTATATTTCCTTTCATAAATAAAAACTTGACATACAGAAAAACAGTTATATGAGGCTCTAACAGCAAAATGATTCATACAACATAAAAGATATGGATATTTTTTGTTTCTGTTTTGCAACGTTAATGTTTTCCGGGCACTTAGATCTAAGTGAAACTATTGAATGAATCCTAGAATGTAGAGTACTCCCAAAGAGAGAGAAAATGGATTCACACTCTACTTGATTTTGCTTAAAACTGGGCTAAGATAAAATAGTGTCATAAATTAGCATACACTCACTGATGTAGGCAGAGTGTACATTTTTATGAGTCCTCATTCTCTTAGTTCAATTTCACTTCCACTTTTGTTACTCCAGTGCTTCAAATTTAAATAAATCAGAATAAATACAGTAGAAAGAGAACAACATTGCAAGGGAGAAATATATTTTATGTATAATGTGTATATCTGATAGTGTCTTTTACAATAAGAAAAAAGTACTTAAAATTCAGAGATGACTCAGAAATTGCTTAGGTGCATAGAAAATTAATTCAAGTTAATACTCTCAAAACCATTTTTAACAATCAGGCAAAATATAGAACTGGAAGTACTTTTATTATTCTAAATTATATTGCCAAGAAAATAAACTGAGCTCATTAGAATTAAAACTATAAATGGCCATTTTCACAGCACTTATTGACACATTCTTAACTATTATTCATTAATGTATTTTAGAGGAAAAAACTTTCAGCAGCCAAGGCATGTAAAGTCTTAAAAATGAACAATTTTTTTTTTCTAAATAAGGTTATATTTGGTTGGAATGAGCTGCAGATCCAACAAAAAATCTTGAAGGAGGAAATGTAGGCATAAACCTTCACTCACCCATTAAAATTGCAGACAGCATACATTTAAAAGCTAACCAGTGCCATTGTGGGTTAAAGTTTGACAAGAAAAAGATTTCATGGTGTTCGGATACTGGTTTTGTTTCAGAGGATTTGGAGCTCTTCCAAACCGAGGGAAGCCGGCAAGTTTGCTGTTACGTAACATGATCAAACTCCACACCAGGCTCACTAAATCCCAAAGTTCGAATGCCAGGCCTCCACTCACTGCTTTCACTTCGCAGAGAGTGTTAACAAAGGCTTTAGTTTTTAATACGAGGAAAATTGCCTTCCGAAATGTAGAACTTGTGATCTGGTGAGCATCCCGTCACTGACAATATTCAGACCAAGTCTTCCCTATAGAGGGGTTGGTGGGAGGGTGGCAGTAGGAGGGGGTAGGGAGGGAGGGGTTGTGGTCCTCTAACCCATCCAAAGTCAAGGTCTTTGAGTCTATATTATAGTCTTTCTCATCTGCACATGTTAACTAGATGACCATTAACTTGGTCCCTGGCTTTGACAATCCCTTGTTCATTTCTTTCCACTGTCCTGGGCCAGTGTTTTTTGTTTCTTTACTTGGGGGACACCTTTATTGATATTAAGCAATACTTTAAAGGGAGGGGGAGGGAGGAAGGAGAGAGAGGGAGGAAGAGAAACATTGATGTGAGAAAGAAACATTAAAATGCTGCTTCTGGTATGCACCCTGACCAGGGACCAAAACCACAACCTAGGTATGTACCTAACCAGGAATCAAACCTGCGACCTTGTAGTTTGGGGGACAGTGCCCAAGCAACTGGACCACACTGGCCAGGGCAATGCACCAGTGTTTTGAAAAATATTTTTGCTCTAACCCAGGGAAGACACAAACCCACTCATGCCCATACACAAACATGCAACTGGAATAAAACTTTTATTAAGCAATTCTTACTTTTAATACATGCAATAAAGTCTATTTTAAAATTCTGTTTAATTTTATTAAATTCCTGAATTGCTCTCAAATCACTAAGTTGATTTTGAGACCCGTGATTAGGAAACAAGCTGACATGTAAGAACCGTGTACTAGAAGAACACCTGGAGAGGTCGAGGGCCTCACTGGAGAGCTTTTACTTCATCCTGAAGCCTTCTCTCCTGTCCTCATGCCCAGCCACAGTTATAGGATGGCTTCCACAGCTTGTCACTGCCCCCTTTTCCAGTCACTCTGTCCCCGGATACCTCATCTTCCCTCCTGCTACTTGCCCGACACTCCCATCTAAGGTCTAAGGCCTGCCCCTCCACTGGTGCTCCAGATCCTCCCCCACCTGCTTAGGACATGTCTTCACAGACATCTCAGTATTTCATGACACCCCAATGTTTCACGATGACCCCCAAATTGAATAGCCCTGCCATAATCCCCCATTTCAATAAATGTTACCTCATTGCGATAGTTACCCAGGTCAAATACCTTGGGGTCATCTTTGACTTCTCTTTTTCTTACAGCATATCCACGCCATCCTTATGTGCTGCTTGGCCTACATTTAAATTATATCCAGTGTCCAAGCATCTTACCACAGGCCACCTGGTCCAGGCCACCCAGGATGGGCTGACTCACTGAAAAAGGACATGATCCAGAGTCTTCCCCTGATAATAAACAATAACCCTCAAATATGATGAAGTGTCTTTCAGGTAGTGTCACCCTTTGTAGTGCGTTGGAAGTTTGTTAGCAGGCTCCAATGTGCCCACCTAAGACGGAGGGTGACTACAGTAACTCCTTCCATGATGCGCACTGGGTGCTTGTGTAGACTGACTTAACTGTTCCCTTGCTGCTTGTGTTTTTTCTTTAGTGCTCGGCAACTTGACTAGATTATAAGTCTCTGAAGGCAGTGGCTATGTCTGACATATTCCTTTATTTTCCTAGTTCTTCATTTTTGTATCTGGAAACTATGTATCAAGTAACTACTACGTTCCAGACACTGTGTGAGGGGCTAGGTATTCTGTGCATGATCAGAGAGATTGGAAATAATTATTTGCTATCAATTCTAGTTATGATAAATCCCAGCCCCAGTTGTCTAGACAGAGTCATAAATAGTGAGATTCCAGGCTGAAAGTGACCTACTGAATTGGAGTCCTGCATGCTCCGACAAAGCATCGCTGGGCCGGTCGTGGCTGGAGCTGCAAGATGACTAGGAGTATGGAGGTAAGGCAAGTTCAGCAGGAAGGCAGAAGAAATTACACACCGAATCATTGTAATTGTAGCTTGAAATGAGATTTCCATTTATTATCTTCTTTACTTGTTATAATATGCTTTGTGAGTAGAGAGAGAAAATATTCCTATTTATAGTTAGTAAAGCAAGGCCTAGAAACAAAGTAATTTATCTACGCAGTGTGTATAGTCTGTGCTTAATACCCCTATCTCCCATTCTCACTCTCCTGCTCTGTACGTGGTCCCTCAGGCCATCGCCAGAGACATGGAACACGTCTGAGCAAAACACAACCGCAGGGACTGGCCCTGAAAACAGTGGTTGCTACCTCTATCAAAGGATAAGGGACAGAAAGGATAATCCCTGAAGCCTTCTCAGTTACACCTGACTAAATGAATAACAATGGGCAGTCATGATCTGAGAGCGACACCATCTTATTTTCAAAATACATATCCCATAAAAATTCAGAAAAACTCAAATGTACTTACTCATTTTCTCCTATTTGAAGAATGAGGCCTGGCGGTATAGATTGTATATGCTGCATTTAATTCTTTTATTTTACATTCTAGGAAGTGAACTCCTTCCATTGATAAGTTAGTCTATGCAGACAAAAGTAAAGATGCATTTTGAGTAAATACTGAATATTTGGGGTTTATGTAGGTCAAGAGTATTGCATCTATCAAATTTGTCTTAATATTTTCAGAATCATAGAAAGATTAGAAGTTTTAAATATTTATTTTGGAAACTATGAATGTTCAGTAAAAAAATCAGGAAGTTTTTTTTATCATATTTTACATTTGTTAAGAGAACTCTGAGCAAAGGAGTGTATTGGTTTTGGTCTAGGTTAGTGCCTCATCCTCTATGCTATCAATTCAGTCTTACTAAGTCTCCACTTTGGGCGTGATGCTTTAAATAGGTCCATGGGAATGTATGTCCCCTTGACATCCGAAATTCATTTATCAGTGCAAGTCATTGCATGAAGTTTGCAGGCCTGAATGGGGAATGAACCTAATCCATAACGAAATGTTTTATTATGGCCGAATGGGGGTGACTGTTGGGTAGGGAAGGTGAGACCGGCTCACAGACATGCTGAGGGAGCTCCTGCAACAGTCAGGATGAATGCAGTCGTGTGTACGGATGTTGAGAACTGGGACACAGTGTTTCTCTGACAGAACTGTCATGGTTTGGTCAATGATTAGGTGGAGGGATTAGCTGAAGGCGGTACAGGTTCAGGAGTGGGGGGAGGGAGGAAGCTGCCTGGAGACACCCTGCAGTGAGGGCGGAGTTCTGGGTTATGAATTTTAGCTCTGTCGGTGCGCAGTTGATAGCTGAAGCCATCCATGAACGTAAATTCGATTACAGGGAAATTTATCTAGGGAGAGCGGGGAAACAGTGAGGGCAGGAGGACAGAGCAGGGGGTCAGGAATGAAGCCATGCGTCCCCACATTTTATCTGTGTAGTAACACATGTTTACTGAGTGTCCACTCTTCATGAGTCTGGGAGGCCCCCAAAGGTGGGTATCGGATCTTATCCTCCTGCTTCCTCGCAGCTCACACACAATCAAGGGGTAGCCATTTAAAGGGAAAAAGCTTCATTGGATCATATCCTAACTCTTATGGACTGTTTTACCAGGTTCTAGTCATTTTCCTAAGTGCCATGCAGCTGCCCTTTCATTTTATATTCTGCGAATGAGGAAATGGAAGCACGAACTTGTTCAAGGTCAAAACTGGTGAACGGGAGGCTGGATTTAAACTCAGTCTACACCACAGACCGCTGGCACCTGACTGCCGTGCTGTGGGATGAGCAGAGTTAGAGTGACGACTGTTTGGCAGCGTACAGCTCAGAACTACCTTCATAGACAGTTCTCACGTCCTCAAAGTGACTCTGGCAGGGAGGGAGGTGGCAATATTATTACTGAATAAATGGAACCTAAAGTTAAGTGAATTCACAAGGAAACACAGCTAGTACGTGGCAAAACCAAGTAAAATGACCATCTTCTGAGTTACAACCCTGTGTTCTTTTTCAGTCCTGCTCCCTGTGAGTACAATTGTCTGCTCTACTACTCAAGAAGATAGACTCCTGAGGTAGACAGCTGGGGAAGGAAGGCTCCGGAGAAGGAGGCCATGGGAAAAGCAAGACAACTTTTTGACTAGCAGCACATAGTTCTTGGAGGACTTAGGAACTCTGTTCTGGTAAGAGTGTAAGATGCCTGTGGGTTGAATTTGCTTGTGAATGCTAACACAGGCTCTTTTTATTAATAATCGTTAATGCTCAAAAATTTAAGCCCAACTCAAGTGTAAAAACAATCGGTTATTAATGAAAGATAACCTAATGACTTGTTATTTATTCATCAGTGCTGGGGACATAACCTGAGACTTGTCTTCAGACTTAATGTTAGGGATTCCTCTTTAGAGCTCCCTGTAGTTCATTTACTAAGGAGGGTAAGACTGGCCCTCTTGATAGGAAATTGGGAAAGAGAACGCTGGATACCAGGTCTCTGTTGGCGCTTGTTTAACCTAATCCCCTATCACACCTAGATTCTTCTCGGAGGGCCAGTCTCCTTAGTTGGGAGAGACTCACTAAAGACTTCAAAGGAACTTAAGATGAGGTGCAGAATAAGCTTTATACTTGTATTCAGCTTATTCCAGTTTAGAAAATAAAAGTGTCCTGGTGCATCTGATAGATTCTGCCTTGTTCGGATTTTAGTGAATCATAGGCCAGGCCGATCTGCCGTTTCTCTGCCATTATACAAGTTTGGTCATTTTGTCGAGTGTCATCACCATTGCTAAATAGACTCAGAAGCAACAAATGCCACAGGATTCGTATATGGAAAAATCTCATTCTGTATTTAATTTAACTGTAGACCTGTTGATTTATACAGAAGGTGAATGTATATCCTCAATATGGCCAACACATATAATCCCTTAACTCCTAAAATAAGCAATGTTATGCTAATTAAAACAGAGGCACCTACATTCTTCCTGCTTGAGGAAAGATGGAATGAAGGAAGGGAATTCGGTAGTTCTTGTCTATAATATTAACTAACAGATAATATTAATAATTTATAATATCAAATATTAACATGGATTTAGTACTCTTCTCATGTAAGGAGCTATTTTAAACATTTACTCTACTTGACGACTCCGTGATAAGCACCGTTACTGTCCTCGTATCACAGCCAAGTGAACCAAGGACAGAATTAAGCAGCTTGCTCTCACCACAGAGCCAACAGCAGAGTCAGAATCCCGGAGCTCCTACGCTTAGTCTGTTGTGCTCCAGTTATTGTGAGTCTTGGGGCTTTGTCTCTGCTCACCTGGGAAGACCTCCAAGAGGCGGTGGAACTTGAGAGAACCTTTCAAAGATGAGAATGAACTGAGGAACATGGGAAGCTAGAGAAATTGCGGTGTTTGTAAACGGACTCTGTGGTGTAGGTGTGAGGGACCCTTCTGCTGCCGTCTCAGACCACCCAGTCTCGCTGAAATCCGGACGGTGTCTCTCCGTGCAGCAGAGGGGAGACAGTGTCTTAGGTCTAGAGAAGCCGACGGCTTTGCGCTGGGATGGTTTTCCTGTCAATCTTACTAAAACCAGGGGCCATAGATGCCCACTGACACCTTTGTGCCCACTGACGGCTCCTCTCCTCTCAGTCAAGCCCCATACAAATGGATGCCATCCATTTCTTTCGTCCAACTCTCCCTTCTTTCCATTTTCTGAGTCAGTGAAATTAAACTACCCAGGCTCTGTACCAGGTGCTAATCCTTAAATAAGTACATATGCAAACAAATAAGACTAGGGTTCTGGCCTTTAAGAAGAATCAAACATAGTTTTAAAAAAGGCCATCTGCTCACAGGATAAACAAGTATAAAAGAGGGAATCGTTACTTAAACCTGGGGCATTGGGAAAAGCTTCACAGAAGAGGTTAGTACTGGATCTGAGTCTTAGAAGATGTGCCGGCTAAGGATGGGAGAGTCAGAGCAAAATGAGAAGAGCATTCTGGGAGGACGCATCAGCAAGAGCAGCCAAGGCTTGGGGGAGAGAAGAGTAGGACAGGTGGGAGGAAGTGGGGAGAAGTTGTCCAGTGGGGGGTGAGGTGGGGCCATTAGAACAAAGCTAGAGAAGCCGACCAGGGCCAGACCAGGTGAAACAAAGAGCGGACCCATCCCTGAAGACCTACCCCCAGGACCTAAACCCAGTATAGCACCTGTAGATGGTGACCATGTTTTTAAAATTCTCATGTAATCGTTTAATGTCAGGGCTTCAGGGATAATGGACACTTGAACTAACATATTTCATGGTATCTTACCCAGATCCTGGCAAGATTAACACGCCATCTTCCTCAATGCGAGAGAGCTAGTTTGAACTGCAGACCGGTGTAATCTTTGATAGAAGGTATAAAGAATGTTTTTTTTTTTTAAGTCACTTCAGAATTTCTGTCCTGTGCCTATTTTTCAGTACTAATTTCATGTGAAAGCATGCGACTGGAATTCAATATTAACAGCATTATTTCATTCCGAATACTTCCCCATTAATATTTTTAAACACATGTAGTACTTACTATGTACCAGAAGTTGTTCTAAGCACTTTACAAATATTAAATCACGTAGCCCAGGGACAACACAGGGAGAGGCAGGCACCGTCACCACCTGCATTGCGCCCACGAGGAAGCGGTGGTTGAGTGACTTGACTGAAATCACGAAGGGCTCAGTGGTGGAGCTGGGCCTGGAGTGCGGGCTTCGGGTTAGAGAAGCCAGGCCATTTCTTCGTTCCTATTGTCATTACCTACTCTTCCAATTTCCTTTTTTCCCCCTCAAACGAAATTGCTGGACAGATTTTGAAAATCTTTTGACTACTTGTTTAGTCGGTATCACGTTATATCATGTAGATATAACTCAATAGAAATATTTCATAGACGATCATTTATTATAGCCTAGTAGTTCTACACCCTTGCCACACATTAGAATCCCCTAGGGAACGTTTTAAAAATATTGTTGTTATCCTGAGTCCTGCCTACAGATATTGATTTAATTGGTTTAGATGAAGCCTGGACATCGGTATTTTAAAACCTCCCCAGGTGATTATAATATTCATCCAGGATTGAGGACCTCTGATATCGATAGATCATTTATTGATTACCTAAGGCACCGTGCCACATATTTTACACACATCATTGCCATTTCTTGTGACAGACTGATTAGATAGGTGTTATAATTATCTATGGTCTACAGATGAGGAAATTAAGGAACTGAGAGGCTATATAATTTGCCCAAAATTGCACAGCTAGTAAATAACAGAAACAGGAAGTGTGAGGTGAAACCACATTTTCTTAACCATGACCACTGTGCCTCCCACGGCATAAAAATTAATTAGTCTACTGTGTCATAAATGGATCAGCATTCTAAAATGTATTTATTTTATATATAGGTGCTAAAACTCTGTAAATCCGAATAATTTAACTACCTTGATGTTCCGTTTTTTAAAAATACTTTTTAAACTAAATTATGCAGAGGGATACACTTTTTCTGTTATATACACACTTTTATATTATATGCCATGTATTTATGTTAGCAGACTGTTATCTTTATTCTTTTGTATTTCCACATATGAAAACATAAATGTTCTAAATCAGTCTCTAAATCATGACTAGCTTATTAAGACTACTAGATGTATTTCTATTGAGAAACCAATGACAGAAGGGCCATTTGTCTTTAATAGAAAAGATTTGGGCTACACTGTGCAAAGAATGTCCTGACCATAAGCAGCGTCCTGTAGCGAATATTTTTAAGCACATGTTTGCTACGTTCCAAGTGAAGTGTCTATACTTCCCATGCATTATTTCAAACCACACATTTAATGCATTAGTTCATCTCACCCATCTCTATATTAAAAACTCCCACACTTACATATCTAGCTCAGGACTCCCTTCTGACATATGAATGTGTCCAACTGCCAACGTGGTGGCTCCCCTCAAATGTTTTATAGCCATCTCAAACATGACATGTCCAAACTGAAACTTCCATGTTTTTTCCATTTTCTCAAATTCTCCCAGTCTCCCCTATTTCAGTTAATGGCTCCACCATTTTTCCTGTTGCTTCAGGTCAGAAATCTAGGACTCATCCTTGATTCTTTTTGCTCTCCTCTGAGATGGTCTTGTTGGATTCATCTACAAAGTGTATCCCAAATCCATCCACTGCTCAGCCCTGCCATTGCCACCACGATAGTCCCATTTATCAAAATATCTCGATAGGACCATTGCCACAGCCTCCTAACTGGTCTTCTTACTTCTTCTGCTCTCTTGTAATCCATTTTCTATCCTGCATCCTGCATTCAGCTTCATCATTCACTTGCTTAAAATCTTTCAGCGGCTTCCTCACCTTGACCTATGAGGTCCTGCATGATCTATTGTTGACCCAGCCCACTCTTCCCGTCACTCACTATGCACAGTGACATAGGTTTTTCAGTTCTTCGCCCCCTCCAAGGCTCTCCCTTAGCTCCGCACACCCTTCTACTGGCTGCATATCTGGCTTCGCATCTTTCAAGTCCCATCTCAAATGTTTCTTCCTCACAGAGATCTTCATGGACTGTCTGCTCACTCCAAAGTACCTCCTTCCTCAGACCAGCCTTTATTTCCTTAATAGCATTGTCACACATTGATAAGATTTAATTAATTCACTTATTGTTTATTTCATTGAATGTAAGATCCACCACAGACTTATATCTGCCTTGTTTTGACTTATCCTCAGCTGGTTCCTTAGCATTTAGCACAGCCTGAGCTCACAAGAGAATACATTTTAGTTCTGTTAAATGCATGTAAGTGTCGTGAACCTTTGATATGTAATAAAAACATACTGATCTTTTCATGAGATTTTAGAAGAAAAGGCTAAAACTATTGGTTCCCAACCTGTATTTCATGCAATAATAAATTAAGAAGAAAAAGCAAGATCAAAAATTGTGTCGCCAGGATTTTACCATTATTGTTGAGTTAAGTCTAATACAAACAACAACAAAAAAGCCACACTGTTTGGGTCCCACTGTCATCCTACCAAACAGCACAGGGGAGGGTTGAAGGCACTGTAGGGCAAAGACGCTCAAAGGCGTAGAAATGGAAGTAGCATGGTGGCCTTGAGTGACATCAGTAAGTTCATTGGAAGAGAGTGACCCGTAAAGAATTAGAAAAGTTTGATAGGTTTAGATGGTGGTTGAAAGTTTTCTGTACCACGCAGAAGCATTTGGACTTCTTCCTATAGGAAATGAACAACTCTATAGGAAAACGACTTGGTTCAATTTGCATTTTAAAATGATCATTTTGTGACCAATGTAGCAAATGGCTTGGAGGCAAATGAGACACGAATGAGGGAATCCAGTTAGAAGGTTGTTATAATAACGTATGAGCAAGATGTTGGCTCAGGCTTGAAGTGAGGCGATGGCACTGAGGATGACGGGAAAGGAGCAGGTCTTCGCTATTAGCTATTCCCATTTCTAGTTTTGGCTCGTATCATCTAGCCGTGGGCTTTAGAATGAATTTTCATAATATTTATCTGTTGACCCTAGAGCTGCCTTTTTGGATGAATATATATATTTTTAAAACCACTAAACTATAGAGCCTTCATTGTAAGGATTAAAATAATAAATGGATGTGAAAGCATTTTGCAACATACTACACAAATGGAAACTATTTTTATTACCAGTAAGTCAATTTAGTTTGCAAAGAGAAAAATCACTTTCCCACATGTAAGCTCCCATAAGCAAACTCCCCAGGCAGAATGAATCACTCTTATTACTATAGCACTTTTTCGTACTTCTATCATAACACCTCCATTAATTATACATTGTTTATGCGTTGGCTTTTCTTTGTAGCATATAAATCCTTTAGAGGCAGAGAGAGAGCCTTATGAATCTTTGCAACCTGGTTTGTGGTAGACAGTAAGTGCTCAGCAAATGTTAATTGCATGCATGAATGAATGATTAGTTTGCAGGAAAGGATAAAGGCAGGTAGTAGGGAGCTGATAGGACTTCAAAGTGAAAATAAATAATAGAGCAAACATGTTAAAGTCAAAAGATTCAGAGTGATTGATGCTCATATATTTTACTTTAGAAGATATACATAGATTTACTATACTGTTAAAATATTGCATCAGCTTGATCTCAGTAAAGTTAAATATTTTGTAACACTGATATTTTAAAAAATCCTTTTGTGGTATTGTATTAATTTTTCCATTCATTTAGCAGATCAGTTTCCAATGGCTGATAAGTAAAGAGCATTGTACTGTGGGTTTTAAATAGACGTGCCCTTTCCTTCATGAAATTTGCTGTCCAGTGGGGGCCAGAGAATGAAGGAAGGGCAGTCTGTTCCATGCCAAAGAGTGTCCTAGGAATTTTACATAATTTACAATAAAAATTAGCATTTACCGTCTTCCATATTCATAACAACCCTGTAAGTAAGCATTATCATGCCCATTTTGCAAACAAGAGAATTTTATTAATTTAACTGAGCTCACAGAGCTAGGAAGGGTCTGAGGCTGGTGGATTGATTATGGTGAAGAACATCAAGGGTTATTTCAGAATCTAGAGTCCTTTGCAGTCATTGAAATTAAGTCAATAAATACTAATGGAATACCAACCAAGACAGATGTATAAAATCATAATGGGTTGTAATGATAAAGTTTTCACCCTTGTGGAGTCTTTGGTTTGGTGGAAAGATTTAGACAAATGGCTATAATCTAAAGGTGGGATTTTAACTAAAGACTGACAGATCTTTTGGGGAAAATGGCTCTTGGGAGCTGGGCAGCACCCAGGTGTGATGTGGAAAGTGCCCTGGGCTGGGTGGTCAGAAGATGCCATTTAAGACTTTCCCCCAATTCTCCTAGTTGACGGGCTGGGGGAGAGACACCTAAATTTGGGGCCTCACTTCCCTCATTTATTAAATATGAACAATAACAAGTAATGTTTCTACCTTATTTTAAGAATTAGTCAGTTGAGATAAAGGAAAGCAGTTTCTAAAATGCAATACAGATTTATGATAAAGAAATCCAATTTCCTAGAAACATCTTTCTGGTATAAGAGCCATCAAATAAGAGAAAGCATAGAGAAGTGATTTATAAATTCTTATCCCTAGTACATAATGTGGTGCCTGTCACACAGTAAGTGCTTAATAAATACTTATTGAGCTTAGTTCCTGAATGGCTGAAGCTAATAGGGAAAACATGCTGCACCCAACTTCTTGTGACCTTTTCAACACATGAAGCCATTGTCAATAAATATGTTAGTCATAACCGAAAGTGCCTTTTAAATTGGGTATTTTGGTTTATTCATTTGGTTGTCAGAGATATATGTGTGTGACTATGGATGTACATCTAAAAGAACGTATTTGAGGGGCATGGTGAACTATCCTCATATCTGTTTGGTTCTGTTAAGTATCTGGTTGCTCCTCTTTACTAATGAGTGTTCACGGCATGCAGCACTCTCAGGGTATGGGATGGTGCTGCACATTCTCCATGGCTGTTTCTGTTCAACTGATTTTGTAGGCATAAGCTAAGGAGATAAAGCTTAAGCCTGGTAACGCTATGTGCTATCCAGGGGGAGGATTTGTTTGGGGCAGACTGGCTTACTTAGCACCATCAAACCACACACCTAAGGCACTTAGTTACCTATCTGCCTTCCAACATGGCCTTTAGCTTGGAGCACTGGCTAGACATGTACATAGCTTTACTGTGGACATGGATAACTAAATACCACCTGCAAATCTTAATCTTGTAAGTAATTACAATGTAAAAATTATAAGAAGTCTTTTTCTAGTTTTAACAGTTTATTTAATGTCAAATTTTTTTACAATAAAGTGTTATTAAAAATGAATATTCAGAACTTTTGCTTCCATGAAGATGAAATAGATGGTTTTTCCCTATTTCTCCCACTAAGTACAGTTGTATGGAACAAATGTACAATATCTGAAAGGTGGAGAGAGGAAGGTGAACTGTACAGGGACCTTGGAACCTGAGGAACAATAGCGTAGTGGGGTTCTTGGGTGTTCTTTTGGCTTGTATATTCTAAAATTGGATCCAGAGAAGTTAGAGCACTGAAAGTGCCCTTGGGTACAAACAAAAAAAGACCCCAAAAAGCCTGCTCCCTGTAGCCAAAGGGCCAGGAAAAGCAAAATCTCGCACCACGGAAAACTTTTTGACACTGATGGCTCTGTTCCAGCCAAACACCATGAAGAAAGTGTGGCCTCACCTCCACGAATGGTGGGTAGCCTAGACAAAGACCATCAGCAAAGACAGGTGGGTAGCCTAGCGCTTCACTCTGGATAGGACAAAACAAGGGTGGTGTCAGAGCAGGCTGAGAGGGGTGCCAGTACCGTCCTTCCTGCACAGTAGTCACAAAGCTCCCCGTTCATCCGCAAAGGTCCCATCCACGTGAGGGACCTGGGCTTCTCTTTCCATCTGGCTGTAATGAAGCAACATGCCCTCTTCCCCTGACACAGCAAGAGTGTAGGAAGGCAGCCAGAATTGAAATAAAATCTGAAGTTTCTAAACAACACAGAAAATGTCTAGGTTTTGGTTGAAAATGATTCATCACAGCAAGAACCAGGAAAATTCCAACACGAGTGACTAAAGCTGATGAACACTAACACTGATGTGACAGATGTTAGAACTGTGGCCGTCTTTAGCCATTTGTTTTTCCAGCTATGCCCTCCTTTTTCTCTTCTCTCCGTATGCTGGAAACACAACTATAGAACTTTTATTATAGTTATGCAGGTCTCTGAGTGTCTCTCTACCTTTTTGTTTTCCAGTTTATTCTTTCTGTTGTTCAGATTGGGTAATTTTTATTGTTGTTTCTTTCAGTTCACCAACTATTTTCTCTCTCCTTCTGTTCAGCTGGGAGAAGGTTTAAAGCCACCATCATAAAAATGCTTCAATGAACAATTACAAACATGCTTGAAACAAATTAAAAAGTAAAAACCTCAGCAAAGAATTAGAATCTATAAAGAAACTTGAATATTACTATGTTTACAGCAGCATTATTTATAATTGCCAAGATCTGGAAACAGCCCAAGTACCCATCATTAGGTGAGTGGGAAAAAAAAAGCTGTGGTACATTGACACAGTGGAATACCACTTGGCTGTAAAAAGGAGGAACTCTTATCCTTTGTGACTGCATGAATGGACCTGGAGAATATTATGTTAGGTGAAATACGTCAGTTAGAGAAAGACAAATACCATTTGATCTCACTCATATGTGGAATCTAATGAACAAAATAGAGTGATAAGCAAAACCAGGGGCATGGACACATGGAACAGACTGACAGATCTCAGAAGGGAGGGGGTTGAGAGACTGGAAGAGATGAGCCAAAGAACATAAAACCATATATACATAGCCCACGGACACAGACAACAATGTGATGAAGGCCCAGGTGTGGGGGGACTGGGAAGAAGGGGACAAAGGGAGGGGGAAATGGTGAACATCTATAATAGCATCAATGATAATAACAAAAGCACCTTAAATTTTAGAACCTCAAAATAAAATAACCGGAATAAAAAATTCAATGGATGAACTCAACTGCTGAATGCAGCAACCAGAGGAAGGACATAGTAAATGGAAAGAAAGAACAATAGAAATCACCCTGTCTGAATAAGGAGAGAAAACAGGCTGAAGTAAATATGGTCAGCGACTTAGGGACCTGTATGACCATGACAAAAGACCCAACATCTGCATCACTGAGGACTGGAGGAAGAGAGGAAAGAGGTTGAGCCTGACAGAGTGTTTGAAGAAATAATGGCTGGAACCTTCCCAAATTTGGCAGAGGACACAAACCAGTAGATTGAAGAAGCTAAGTGAATGTCAAACAGGATGAACTAAAAAAGTAAAAATCCATGCCAAGACACATTATAGTCACTCATGTAAAAATTAAAGATGAAGAGAAATCCTGAAAGCAACGAGAGAGAAACAACTTCTCTCTGCAGGAAAAAAAAAAAAAACGTTCAAGTGACAGCAGATTTCTCATCCAAAATCTCAGAGGCCAGGAAGAAGTGGTATATTTCTTAAGTGATGAAAGAAGAGAACTAGCAACTCAAAATTCTAGATCTGTTAGAATATCCTTTAGGAATAAAGGGGAAATCCATGGAAAGGCAAAGGATCTAAGATTGCTAAAACACATGTGAAAAAGAAGACTGGAATATGAGGAATCACTCTGCCCAGTGTTAAGACTTATGTCGCCATAGTCACCAAGACTGCATATTGCTGGTGGAAGGAAGGAAACCTAGATCAATGGGTCAGACTGGAGAGTGAATCCAGAAATAAACTACACAAAATCACCCAACTGATTTTTTGACAGAGATGAAAAAGTAATTCAATAAAGAAATGATCATCTTTTGAACAAATGGTTCTAAGACAATTATAATCTACAGGCAAATGAATGAACTTCAACCCAAACTTCACACATTATACAAAATTTAGCTCAAAATGAATCATAGATTTAAATACAAAACAGAAATCATTAATCTTTTAGAAGAGAACATAAAGGAGAACATTTGTACTTAGGGTTGGGTGAAGAGTTCTTAGAAATAACAACGCATGATTCAGAGAAGAAAAAGTGGATAAACTGGACTTCCAAATTGAAAACCTTTGCTGTAGGAATGACATTCTTAAAGGGTTGAAAAGACAAAATACAGACTGGGAGAAAATATTTGGAAGCCATTTATCTGACAAATGACTAATATTTAGAATACATAAAGACTTTTCAGCCCTGGCTGGTGTGGCTCAGTGGATAGAGCGTCAGCGTCAGCCTGAGAATAAGAGGGTCGCCAGTCAATTCCCAGTCAGGGCACATGCCTGGGTTGTGGGCCAGGTCCCAGTGGGGGTGCACGAGAGACAACCACACATTGATGTTTCCCTCCCTCTCTTTTCCCCTCCCTTCCCCTGTCTCTAAACATATAAATAAATAAAATCTTTAAGAAAAAAGACTTCAAAAACAACAGCAAAGAAAGAGATAAGCCCATTAAAAAATGAGCAAAAGTCATGAATAGACATTTCACTAAGGAGGATAAACAGATGGAAAATAAACTTACGAAAGTCTGTTCAACATCATTTGCCATTATAGAAATGCAAATCAAAACCACAGTGAGATATCATTATGCAGCTATCAAGATGACTCAGATAAAAAAATAGTGACAATATTGGTCCTGCAAAGCAAAAGGTCACCGTTTCGATACCTGGCCAGGGCACATGCCTGGGTTATAGGTTTGGTGCCTGGGCATGGCACACGCAAGAGGCAACCGATCGATGTTTCTCTGGCACACAGATGTTTCTCTCCCTCTTTTCCCCCTCTCTAAAAATAAATAAAATCTTAAAATTTTTTTTGAAATAGTGATAACACCAAATGCTGACGAGAATGTGAAGAAACTTGATCTTGTACATTTGTTGCTGGTGGGAATGTAAAATGCTACAGCCACTCTTGAAAGCAGCTTGGCAAATAATTTATAGCTTCAACATGCAACGACCATATAATCCAGCAATTCCACTCTGGGACATTTGTCTCAAGGAAATGAAAATGTATGCTACATAGCAGTCTGTGCATGAATGTTTAAAGATGTGTTAGTTGTAATAGGCAAAAGTGGGAACAGCCTAGGTATCCTTCAGTGGGAGAATGGTTAAAGCTCCGCACGTCCCTCTGTATATTCACCATCTGTTTGGTGTCAGGACCCTACCAGGTGCTTAAATACATTTGTGACTGACGTCTTGGAAGGTAAATATTATTATCCTAATTTTGTAGATTAGAAACTTGAGGTTTAGCCAGATTAAATACCTTATTCAAGGTCACTTAAGGCAGAGGCTGGAATTTGCAACCAGGCTTTTTGATATTCCAAAGCTCATTTGCTTCCCAGTATAGAGGCTGTCATGGATGTTAGGTAAGGAGACTCTGCTTGTTTGTTATTCTTTGTGACCTGGAAGGATGTAACTAATGGTCTTACTTCCTGTGTAAGGACTGGTTCTGTCAGCTGACCCCCAGTACAAAGCCACTGCCAAAGAACAGGCTTTCCGTTTCTGTAGTTCATGTCCATTGCTTTTAGCTGGGCCTCTGCAAAGGCATGTCATAACATTCGATGAGTCTTACTTCTCCAAGGAAGAGGGTGGGCCCAGTCAAACTTTCCTCTGTTGACTCATTTCATCACATAAAAGAACTAATGCTTGTTCTTTGTTATAATTAAGTTTGCATCTGTGGAGCCCAGAACACTCAGTTGCTCAAATAACTGATGGAAATAACTTTGTTCTGCAATGCGTATTCCTCTCCTTCAGGGTCAACTAAAACACAACCCTTGCTATCCACAATTATTCAGCAGGCGTGGCTGGAAAAGTTGACCCATCATATTTTAGCAATAGAAGGAATCAGCATTCAATGAAAATAATCATTTCATAGAGAGGCAGAATGACTGGTCTAAGTCACACATATGCCATTAAATTTACAGCACAAGTCTTAGATTTCTCATGAGGCTCAGATATGAGTGTGGCCAACACTTCTTTCTACACTCTGAGCTCTACTTGCTACTGGTTCCAGGTTTTATGACAGTAGTTCATGTTTTGTGAATCAACCATCAATAATTTATTTAAAAACAAAAAAGCAAATCTCCAAGATCCTTAAATTTAGAAGAAATGGCAGCTACCAAGTAAAATGGGGGCAACTAAAATCTTATGATTAGATGATTCTAGAAATTTCAAACATGGTATAGCTGGAAAAGCCCAAGAACTGGAACTGGCAGTCTTGAGTTAGATGACTAACACGAGCTACCTAATTGGCTCCGTGTCCTTAGCCCTGATTCTTAATTCTGATTCCTCCAACTAACTCTCCCTTGGTTCTTGTTTGGTTCTGGAGATTCAAGGATGATCAAAATAATAATGATACCTGCCTCTATTTAAGTCAGTTTTGGTGCATGAAAGAAGTGAGATAGTAGATATGAAAGCTCTTTGTGAAGTATACAATTCTATAAAAATTAGACATAATCTAATACTATTTCCAATTGCAAGTATATATGGTATCACAAATGGAGCTTGAAGATAATGAAAACTCTCTGAGCAGAAACGGAAAATACATTTATATCGTGAGATTATGAAGCCTAAAAATTGAAACTGGATAGAGTGCTTAGCAAACAATTGCAATGTGTCCATCACTTGCTTATTTTCTGTGTGTTCCCCACTCATATATAAATATATAAAACTTTTCTATCTTTACTATTATTATTCCAGCTCTTAAAAGAGTGTAGGCACACAGTGTGCACTGAATATTTGTTGAGTAATTTAAAAATTTAATCTTTTTTTGTATATATGTTAAATTTTAGGGTAAATACCAGAAGTATATATATATATATATATTTAGTCTTGATAGGTATTGCTAAATATCTCTTTCAGTTGGCTATACCTAGTTATCTTTTATTACCTAATTAATTAAAAAATATTTCATGCCTGCATATTTCTAACCCTTTTATATATGGTAACATATTTTACTTCTAGTAATAGCATTCCCTTCGTCTAGGAATCATGCCTTCTCTTATCCCTCTGGTGGGAGATGCCAGGGAAGTATGTCCTCATGTTCTGACGAAGTGGATTGGAATCGGAGTGGGCAACGACTAAAGGAATTCTATCTCTCTGGGCATTGATTATTGGTCCCGGCACGTTCATTGATTCTAATCAGGGCCAGTGAGTCCTTCCTTAGGATTTTTGAACCCGGAGAACTTGAAGCTTGAATCAGTCATTTTCTGTTAAGTTGGAGCTGTAAGACATAGAACTCACAATGTTCTGGTCGCCACGTTTGCCACCAAATGGAGAAAGTCAGTCAGCACCCCCCCCCAAAAAAAAAAAGAAGGGAAGAAAGAAATCTGAAGACAACAAGCAGAGAAGAGCAGAACGGATGAGTCTGAATGCAAATCGAGTGCCTGGTTCCCATCTTTCTAAAAAGGACAGGAGATTCGGGAACTATCCTAAGCTCTTTATTGTGATAATAGTAATTCTTTTCTTTTTTTTCCCTCAAGTTATTTTAAACTAGCTTTCCCCCATGTTTGGGATTAAGAGTTGTATCAGTGAAGTCTGATACACAGCAGGTGCCTTGCCTCAGCTCTCTCTCACGCAGTCCCATGTGAAAGTACCCATTCCCCATGCCTACAAGGGACTTTATTAATAGTTCATACTTTTGTCAACATGGTGGGTTAAAACAATGATATCACCTTATTTTTAAAATCCATGTTTCTTAAGAAATAGGCTGAGAATGTTTTCAAGTCTTTATTGGCTACTTGCAATTCTTCTGTGAATGGCTCATATGCATAGGTTCATGTTTCTGTAGAATTGCATTTTTCTTATTAATCTGCAGGGATCATTAAATACTATGGCTATTAATCTTTAATATCTATACATATGTATGTATAATATATATTTGCAACTATGTTTTTCCTCATCGATTACATGCTTTTTAAAGAATTTTGTTTTTGCTATATGTCATTATATAGAGGGGAACAATTTTTATATATTAAAATCTATTATCCTTTTTATGTATGATTTCTGGATTATTTTACATGTTTAAGAGGACTTTTCCTACATCAGATTATTTTAAGGAATCTAAATTTCCATTTTGCATGTGTATACTTTTATTTTCTACATTTTATTTTGCTCCAATAATATTTGCCTTTTGCATACATAATTTAACACATACGCTGCAAGATGTGTTATCCTCACTTTTCAGATCATGAGTAGGAGAATGAGGGTTCTAACCAGGTCACACGTGTGGTCAATACTGAGAATCATGACAGAAGCTCTTGCCATGCTGTCTGGGCGACATGTAGCTGAGAAAAAAGGTTCTTTGCAATTACTGGAATTTACCTTCTTTATCCTTTTATTCATTCCCAAAGGGATCTGAGTTGGCTAATACTACACATTGATATAACCAAATAGATGTTTATTGTGTAAGGGACCTGATGTTAATACAAACTGTAATCTAAGTGCATTCTGTACTTAATAAATATATTCTTGATGAAGTGTGGGCAGATGAATGAGTGAATGATAGTATCACTTAGGGATGGGATAGCAAGGATCACACTGACCCCATCTGCCCTGGGAGAGCCATGGTTAAGCTGGAGGCCGAGGTTCGGAGGGAGATGAAGAAAAAGCTGAGTGCCAGGCGAGAGCAGCAGCCTGTCCAGGTGAGCTGAGTGTCTGCAGGCCTCGCTCATCACTGCAGTTCCCATAATCGTTATTGGTGACTCACTCCTCTGAGTCCTGACAGTGCCTGTAAACACCCTTTTGGTCCTGTCTGTTCCTCCCAGCCTTGGCACCAAGCCTTTGCGTTCTGTGCCCTCACAGTGCCAGGTTCAGAACAGAGATGCTGTCAGCACCCAGGCAAGAGCCAGCCGGGGCTGTCCAGCTCGACACTCTTATTTGCGATCTCATTTCAAAAGGAAAACTTAAGAGTTACCTTGTTATTGATGTTTTTCAAAGAAGTCTGAATACTGTCTTACGATTTTGGTGGCTAAGAAGCAATGCCAACTCTTTTAATGACATTCTTCTATTCAGTTGAGTAGGTAATTTGAGTTCCAAGAAGAGATATACTTTATGTGGAACCAAGTAAGGCTGTTTTTGTTTGGAAGGAAAGAAATATGGCTTCTAAATACACCCCCACAGGCACGCACACACATGCATACACAAGCATACATACATACTATTCCTGAATTTGCCTTCATACAAAAGGTAGCTGCTTACCATTGGAGTCCATGCTTAGCAAATGCACAAATCAGGAGGGGTGCAATGGATTAGTTTCCAGACATGTGCAACCAGCAAGGCAACAGCTTTCCCTGTGGATGGATCCCACCAGAGCGCCAGCACTGGCTTCAGCTGCCGCTTCCTGGCTGGTCCCCAAAGAATAACCAGATGTGCGGTAACACCTAGTGTAGTGTCTGGTGGCCATTACAGTCTATGTGCATTTCACCTGCATGAATGAAACTACAGGGCCATGGCAGTCATGGAGGTGGGCCACCCAGATCTTCCTTCCTCTCCACAGGCCTTGGCATGGGGAGCTCAGCTGATGACAGCTGCCAGACAGCTGTCCGAATGTGCCAAGGCTGCGCTTCCCCTGGGCTCCTCCCAGCAGCCAACACCTGAGCGGCCCTGTGTTGCCTGACGTGGGATTCCTCTAACAGGCACCGTCTGCTCATGGCTCTGGCCAGGCTGAGACTTTCTAAGAACTGCACTGTGGTTTGTGGCTCTTCCTCACCAATGCTCCTTCCTTCCCTCGCTCCTTTCACAGGTGTCTGACCTGTCTCGTGGTCCCAATGCTCTCCCTGCTGACTCCTGCTCCCTTGTCCCTTATCCTACAAGTGTTTCCCCCACTAAATCTCTCATGCATCTATTTCTGGGGCCAGTCTGCTGTTCCTTGGAAGGGGCGGGGTGGAGGAAAGAAGAGTGACCACTAGAGTAGGCACTTTTCAGCGGCTGCTAAACGGAAACAGATGGAGTGAGTGGGAGGTGCAGATCAGCTGTCCCTCAGCCAGGTTCCATTTGTTTCTCAGTCTGCAGTTTTTTTGCATAAATATTTTGTAGCATTTATTCCATGCCAGGCATAGTTCTAAGCATTTTGCCTATGCTGAATCATTTAGCTCTCACATCCGCCCTGTGGTGAATTGTTACTTCCATTTTGCAAATGAGGGCAGTGAGATAGGCAGAGATTAATGTAAATTTGTCCCACGTCACAGAGCTGTTAAGTGGCAGGGCTGGAATTTACTGCCACTGCACTGTGCTGTGCCCCATGTCAGGTGTTCTCTGCTGTGCAGAGATTGCAGCATTTAAAGATAAGTATTTTTAATAAAATATGCCCTCTAAACTTTAGTCAATTCCCTTGCATGATAAGCAGCTAAAGAAATACAATTTCTTCTAATGCTAGCAGAAAAACTGGCTGCACTGAATTCACTAAGAAAGTCTTCAGTGTGGCAAGTTCCTAAAGGAAAAGAATGCTCATCACACACACACTATTTTCCTGACTTTAGGACACACCCCTGGCCCCTCTCTCTTACCCTGCAACTTCACTAAAAAGCCTTGCCTGGGTGAAACAAATCTGTGAATTTCCCCTCTAAACAGTTGACTTCTGCAAACTGGTGGGAGATAATTATTGAGCAAATGCTAAACTCTGGATAACATGCTAGGTAACGTGCATGCATCTATTGACTTAAATCTCACAACCACCTGTGAAATCACTACCCATTTTGGACAGAAGCGACCTGAACTCCATGTGTTAAATAAATTGCCCAAAAGTCCAAGCTAGGAAGTAGCTGAGTCAAATGAACACCCAGCCTTACTGATCAGCCTATGGTTTTGCTTATTTGTTTTTGTTTTTGTCTTTTTAAACTTTGTCAGCTCACCAGAGTTTATCTTTCTGAGCCCCAAAACTTAAAGAAAAAAATAGTCTTACTTGGATATGGCAACTCATATCCACTTTAACTTTTTCCTGACATTATAGGGACATCTTTATGAATCATAATTACTTTAATGTTAACACTTGTGAGGTTATGATTCTAGCTGAGCACATTATTCATTTTTTAATGCAACACATGTTTGTAGAATAACTTCTGTGGTAGGCAGAATTCTACAGTGGGCCTGAGATTCCCTCCCCCCGAGGTGTACATGTTTTATAGAATCCCCAGGACTGTGTATATGACGGATTTGGATTGAGTTATGTTACTTGGCAAGTTGACCTTAAGATACGGAGATTACCCAGCTAGGCCTGATGGAATCACATGGCTCTTTTGAACACAGAGAGTTTTCCAGCTGGTCACCGAAGAGGAAGTCAGATATTCAAAGCTCAAGGGGGGTTTGATTGTCATGCTGGCTTGAAGAGAGACAGGACCGCATGGTAAGGATGGTGGGTGGCCACCAGGAGCTGAGAATGGCTTTTGGCTGACAGTCAGTGGGGAGATAGAGATCTCAATCTTATAGCCTCGTGGAGCTGGATTTTATCAACAAGCTGAAGAGCCCGGAAGCAGATTCTTCTCCAGAGCCTCCAATCAAGAACTCAGCCTGGCTGACACCTTGATTTCAGTGTCTAATTGCCCTGGCCAGGTGGTAAAACCTAGCCAACCTGCACCTGCATTTCTGACCTCCAGGACTGTGAGCAAATAATGAATGTTAGTGTGATTCACTGGAATTTGTGAATCAGCAATAAAAGCTGATTTGTTATGCAGCAATAAAAGCCAACACACCCTCTATGTACCAGGCATAA